TATTTTTTAATCGTTCAACCGTATTCATTTGAAATTCGCGAAAGTCTTTCGAAATATTGTACTCATTGATTAACCACTATACAGTAAGTAAAAAACGACGAATAAGCATCTTCTTTTTGTGTAGAAAAGTTATAAATATATCGTGCATTCCAATAATTACATCATGATTCGATTTATCAGAAACTTTTATCCTGTCAACAACGTGTTCCCACGAGAGTATCATTTTTGACTGATAAATACAGTATGAATCGATTAATATTTGATCTTGCTAATTGCTGTCTATTACTTAAAAAACCTACTTCTTCCGCTCTTTCTGTAGTATTTTCTACATCGACGATCTCATCTGTTTCGCTCATGTCATCGGTGATGAGAATAGTGAATACTTGTTGTACATCTGTAGAGGGAACACTGGTTGATTGGTCAGCGTCAACAATAATCTTCTCACTTGATTTATTTCGTTTAACGCTCTTGCCTCCTGTATCTTTCATTGACCGGCGCTTGTTGGACTTTATTTGTGATGTAGTGAATAGGGAATGCAACTATAGGAGGAAGCAAATGGCACAAAAAAAAAACATATATAAATATACCGGTCCATTATTAGAGACGTCGGTTTTCAATGTGCTATCAACTTCGTTGAAGGCAGTTTGGATCAACCTCTTGGTGCCATGCATTACTGTTCGAGTCGGTTTTATCTAATCAGATATTTAGTCAATAAAAGTTGGAATTGAAATACGGTAGGTGAAACCTTATCCAAATGTAAGTCTGAATTGGCATCATTGACACGTAAATGATGTTTTTATATCTGATCTTACGTCACCCAGCGCACGCGTACTTTCTTTGGCCACGGCAAAAAACGAAACTTCTGGTCATGTGATTCCCGAGAGCATCGGAATTAAATCGCAAAATATGAATATATTAATAGCACTTCGGTTAGGCTTAGGATTAGAACTATAAAAGGCTCGGCGTATAGTAAAATTTCGCAAGAAAAAATTTTCATTAGAATAAGGAAAGTAGTTTCATATAAAATAAACGTTTTTTACCTCGTTTTTGTCATAACAAGTTTTGCAACTATTTCGGCCAAAATTATAAGTATGTAGGCCGAATTTTTTTTTTAATTCCGGCCGGAATTATAAGTGTGCAGGACTAATTCTAGCCGAAATTGTAAGTTCGTAGGAATCAAATTTTTATATTTCCGGCCGGAATTATAGATGCGTAGTATACGGGACATAATACACTTTTTATTTACTTTTTTTTTTTTTTTTAACCTGCAGTCAGGTCAGCATGACATGTCTTTATTGTATATATGCTAGGTATTTACAAATTATTGTGACTTTCACATATTGACTCACTCATCATCAAAAAGCTATTTCTTTAAATGTAACCTAGGAAATAATATTTTGCTCCTTTACTAATTTGAATAATTCCTCTAATTAATAAAATTATTACCTACAGGTTATTACTATAGATCATTCTAAGTTTTGTCTGTGGTTAATCAATGAGTACAATATTTCGAAAGACTTTCGCGAATTTCAAATGAATACGGTTGAACGATTAAAAAATA